TTTCTCTCCTGCTTGTTTTTCCCCCTGCTGGTTTTCCAAGGGGGAAGGGGGGGGTACAGTATTGGGGCTGGCAGTCATCCCCGCCATAAAATTCCATGCCCTACTGTTGATCTTCCCTCCCATATACCTGAGTGTCTAACTATCATATTTCTAATCACGACTAATTGCCTGTCTTTTGCCATCGTTTTTGGATTTGGAACTCACACAGTTGATGTGAACTGACTGAAGTATTGAACTCTTAGCAGGCAGCCTGTCAGAGTAGCACTGATTCCACCTTATATTTCTTTTCGCTTTTTTCTGGTCTAATTTTAAATTAGTTCTTCAGGTAACAATGTTTTTGGCTTGAGAGACTGTGAATCATAATAATCCCAATAAATAATGTTACAATCAATCACTGTCTGAAAAGTAGATGTAACCTGTCATTATAAATAACTAGGAATTGGAATTAAAATCTCAGCCTCAGGCATTGCCAGCGCTGGTAACGTGAAGTCATTACAGAATCAAATTTGAAGACCCTATTTTTAAACTTTACCTTGAAACATTTGTTCCTTTGTTCATTTTCTTTTTTTTCAGGTGGGTGGGGGTTGCATTTCAGCTTCAAAAATACTCTTCAGCTTTCTGGCTTTTTTGTGTATAGGTGTTTTCTTCTCTGTATTCCCATTCTATCTGTTGTGGTGCTGCTACTGTGGTATGTACAAAGCTCCTGGCATCCACTTCCACAGTGCCCTTTTAACTAAATCCCTGCTTGGTATTTGTAAATTCTTAACTCCATCCCTCTTCCCCCATCCTTCCCTCCCCCCAATCCCTTTGCCTCTGCATTACAGGTTTGTTCTCCCTTAACTGCAGCCCCTCTCCATAGCTTTTTAGCTGTTTTCACACATTAGACTTTTAGAAAATGGAATAAAATGTGACTCTCTTCACCTTTCAAAATTTTGGGACAAGAAACAAAGGACTGAAAGGGGCTTCTTGGGTCAGTTCTGCACTTTGACGTGTGGAATTCTTCCCTGGTGGAACAATCCTAGTTTCAGTGTTAGACTATTTTGTTCGATAGGGGAAAGAAAAATAATGTCTCTGGTGCTCTGTACTACGTCTTGCATGTCCTGTATTATTCCTTTGCCATTCTTATATGACCCTAATTAAAGCCTCCCCTTTCATATATGGATGATCTTATGGTTAAGCCATGGACACCTCGATTCTATTTCTGATGCTGTTTCTGATATAGCCTTGGGTAAATCCCTTGGCTGCTTGGTGCCTCAGGGCACTAACACAAGTTACATATTTCATGCTATTGGGCTCCTGAAAGCACTCCACAGCCATGATGTAATACACATGCACAGCTGCAGAGCGCCTTTAAAATGGCGGATCGCACAAAAAAATTACCATCAAATGAAGCATTAGATGAAGGCGCTCTAAAGCAGAGCGTGTTAGAAAACGTGTGTTCCTTCAAGGGTTCATTTTTTGCATGGGTGGGGGAGGGGGGGGCTAGTGTTCACACCCTGCCAGCACCAGCCCAGCACCACCCCTGGGGCTCTCGGCACAGGAGAAAAAGCAACAACGGCTACCGGCTGGGCTTGGCCTGGCTGGAGCTGGGAGGTGGGGGCAGGGTGGAATAGAGCACCCTTGCCTCAAAAGTTCACCTCCAGCTACCCTGGCTGGGGTATTGGGAGGAGCTGAGGCAAGGGGGCTCTGTTCCACTCTGCCCCCAACCCTGTTCCAGTTCCGGTCAAGCCTAGCCAGAGCTGCTGCTGCCGCTGTAAACAGGCCTGGGGTGTGGGGGAAGGGAGCACCCCCTCACCTCAGGTCCAGCCCAGCTCCCCCTAACTTCCCAGATGGGGTACCTGGAGAGGCCCACAACATGAGGGGGCTGTGTTCTGCAACCCCCCCACCTTCCAGCCAAGCCAAGCCCAGCTGCTGCTCCTCTGTCCCCTGCGGACAGCTTTGGAGTTTGGGGGAGGGGGGGAAGGAGGGAGCCTGGGGCAAGGGGTGGCCTGGCTGCCTCCTCAGAGGCTGTGAGAGTTACCCCACCTGTTTGTCAGGGCCAGTGCAGGCAGGCTCAAGCCCCCACCCCAACCCAACAGGTGAACGTCGGCTCTAACTCATGGCATTTTATGTAAAGCGCTGTGAGTTAAAGCAAGACCCCTAAACATCTGGAGGCATCCTCCGTTTCCCTGTTTGTATGATAATACATACCTCATAGAATAGCAAGACTGATGTAATTAAAGCATCCTGAAAATCCTTGTATGAAGAGTGTTATGGAAATTTGAAATATTGTTGTCTTGGTTAAGTTTATTTATTGATACTGCAAAAAACTGGAATGAAGGCATTGTAAAATGAAATGCTCTCAATGCATATGGGAATAATTTGTCTTTTTGTTTTTGAACAGCCCTCATGCAACTGAACACTCTTGGCTGAGCAGCCAAAGACCGACCCATTCACCCCAGCTTTCAATGAAGGGTAACAACAGACCAACAGGAAGTTATCTTTTGCCCTCAGAATTTTCAAGCTCTGTGCAGGAAGACTCGCTCTTGTCCCATTTCCCGTCCCCAGGCCTGCAAGTTATCTCCTTGAGCAGCCAAGAAAATTCATCATCAGAGCAGCAACAAGAACCTTCTGCCAAAACCAGTGCCCGGACTTACCTGAACTATGGTGGAGCCAGTGTAGGCAGCAGCCCTTCCTTGGAGGAGAAACAGGCTACTTTCATGGTCAACAGCAACAGTTCTCCCAAAACTATGAGCTCACCACTGGCAAGTGAAGAAGACAATGGATTTTTGGAACACAACTTTCTTACAATGACCACTGGACATAACAGCCAGAACAGCACGACTCAGCAGAAGCACGGAATGAATCTGCACCCCCAACCACCTCTTCCAGAGAAGAAGAGGTCTTCTGAAGGAGAACGTTCCTTTGGTTCCATCTCCCCTTCTTCCAGTGGCTTCTCCAGTCCCCACAGCGGGAGTACAATCAGCATCCCATTTCCAAATGTCCTGCCAGACTTTTCTAAAGTTTTAAGTACTTCCCCTGTGCCAGGTAGGTTCTATGTTACAAGGACTCCAGGCATACCTATTGTCAGAGAGAGGAAATTAGGAGTGGGCTGTTCTACATTTTAGAGATTAAGAAGAAAAAAAGGAAAAATGGCGCCTGAGTATTTATAGTAAGAGGAACTCATTCACTAGTATTAGACACATTGATTCTAAAAGCAAAACTCTGTCAGTTGTCCCATCTGGTTCAGCAGGGGTCCAATGTTGCCCTTGCTTTTCCTCCGGCTCCCCACATATCTGAAAACAGACTTTTTATTGTCCTTGGTGCTTGAAGCTAGTTGGAGTTCAGTTGCAGCTTTGGCTTTCCTGGTTTTCTCCCTGCAGAACCGGACCAGTGCAGAATATTCCTCCTTGGAGGTGAATCCCATCCTCCATCCTTTGTAGGCCTTTCTTTTTAGCCTCAGGTCTGCTAGGTCCCTGGGGAGCCGGGGGGGCTGCTGTGCCCTCTTGCTTCCTTTCCTCCGAGATGGAATAGAATTAGCTTGTGCACTGAGGATCGCTCCCTTGAGGATCAACCACTCATCCTGAACTCCCCTTCCCCTGGGGTCGTGGTCCCTTAGGGCTTCACTGACAAGCCTCCTGAGCTTGTCAAAGTCAGCTTTCCTGAAGTCAAGGACTTCTGTGTTGCTGACTGACTTCCCAGCATTACAGTGGATGGTGAAGGTGATCAGCTTGTGGTCGCTGTCACCCAGCTTCCGATCACTCACTAGGTCGCCGATTAGATCATCCCCAGTAGCCAGTACCAGGTTGAGCAGCGCTTTACCTCTCAGCCCATAGACTTCTTGAGTCAGGTAGAGGTCATCCATGCACGATAGGAAGCTTTGCAACCGCTTGAATATTGCTGAGTGATCCTCCCACGAGATGTCTGGGTATTTGAAGTCACCCATGACAACCTTGGACTGGGAGCATGTGGCCTCAGCCAGTTCCTGAGCAAACTCCTGGTCAAGCTCTTCACTTTGGGTGGGAGGTCTGTAGTAGACTCCCACCGTTGTGTCGCCTGTGCCATGTTCCCCACAGATTTTAACCCAGAGGATCTCCAGTCGTCTACCCTGGTCACCAACATCAGCTTGCAGGGACGCATAGCTTTCCTTAACATAGAGAGCTACACCCCCACCCCTTTTATCTACACAATCCCTCCTGTACAAGATATAGCCATCAATACCCGTGGTCCAGTCATGGATGGAGTCCCACCAGGTCTCCGTTATCCCTGTACGTCATAATTAGTTGCGTTAAGGAGGAGCATGAGTTCCTCCTGATTATCCCCCAAGCTCCTGTATCCTGTATCCAAGAGGTTGATGAAGTGAAGTTCATAGGGTCATCTGTAAAAAAGGTGTTTTGTAAATTAATTTGAGGATTAGAACTGAGAGATTGGAGAGAGAGTGGTTTCCATGTGAGAAATGTATCCCCACAGGTAATTGGGTATTCTTGTCTTTGATAGATTTCCAGTGTGCGTTCATTCTGATGCACAGTTGTTGTTTGGTCTCTCCTATGTATTTTCCATCAGGGCATTTGGTGCATTGGATGAGATATATTACATTTCTGGAGGTGCAGCCATAAGATCCAGGAATGCTGATGGTTCTGTTGTGGGGTGTAGTAATTGTGGGGGTGGTGGAGATGTGTTGGCAGGTTTTACATTTCTTGTCATGGCATAGTACTCCAGATGTGGCCTCACCAGTGCTGAATATAGAGGGGAATAATCACTTCCCTTGTCTTACTGGCATCCTTGCTAGACTTATGGCAAGAAGTAGTTGGAATGTGGCTGTATGTGCAGATTTGACCAGGAGCCGCTGATAAGATCCTTATTTAATATAGCTGTATAACTATGAATATCCATAATCTATAGCCCCAGTGAAAGGGAACATTAATAACACTTGTGGAATTAACCAAAGTATCATGTTATGTACATTTTGGTATAGAACTTCCCCGAACTCTCATTGCACGGTTCTTCCACCTCAGTCAGACTAACCAGCATCTCCTTATAAGACATGAGAACCAACAAAAAAAAATTTCCTTAGCAATTAATGGTGCACAAAATTTTTTTTTCTTTTTTTTTTTCTTCTACAGACAGTACAACTGATAAGCATGTGACTGTAAAATTTGTCCAAGACACATCCAAGTTCTGGTACAAGCCAGATATTTCAAGAGAACAAGGTAAGCCAAGTAATGTGTGCTTTGGGATGTACAGTTGCAGAGGGCCTGTTCAGGAGTTTTCTCTCTAAATTTCTGGTGCTTGATGTTTAAAATGCTTTAGATTAAAGTACAAAAACAATTTTTGTCTCACCACTGGGACTAGAGCCCCATATGCCAGTGTAATTTAGAGGATTACGGGTTTATTAAACAAGACTCAAGGAGTCAAGGGTTTAGCTTATAGGTCAAGTTCTTAACCCCTCTAGAATGACCCAAAGAGACCTTAAAGCTGTCTGTACCAAGAGATGAAAAAGTATGGTACAATCTAGACATGGCCCTGGCAATCCATTCAGTCACCTCCCTTCAGTGGCAAGGAGGCTATCCTGGAGAATGGTAGAGAATGGACAAGAGAGGCAAGTGCAGTAATAGAGATGTAAATCCCAATTAAATAAATATTTGTCATTACAACAGGTTAAACAATTAATGGATTGGGTGCAGCAACAGGGACAGGTACAGCAGTGATAGGCCATGTCTCTGCAGTCAGGGAGGGGGATGCAGAGCCTCCCAGGCCAGTGCTTGCCCTGCCATGGAGGAGGGTCTTCAGCCATCCGCCCCAAACAGCATGAGGAGCCGGAGGCCAAAGTAACCCCACCAGGCAGACAGCACAGCCCAAGAAGCCCTAGGGGTGAGGGGAGCAGCAGCCAGCAAGGGGCTGTAGCCACCAGTGGGCAGCTTCCCTGGGCTAACTGCAACAGTGCAGGAGGGAGGGGGGAGGAGAGAGGCAGGCAGTAGCTAGCAAGGGTCTTTACAAGCCCGCTGCAGCCACTGGCATGATTTCTTGTTGGGACAATGCAGGGTTTACCTTCCCTCCCAGACTGTGCCCAGCCCCAGGGTAAACAATAACCAGTAACTAGTAAGCTAGAACCAGTTATCACTGAGCTGACTGGTGAAATGATTAATCATTTCACCGTTCACGTCCCTAGTGCAGTATTCTCCATTGATCCAGGTGGAAGGTAACTTTCTAGCACAGGTCATCCAGAGTCTGTAGTCTGCCATGCTCTGAGGGCAAGTTTGGTCCCCAGGATTTGGAGAGCTGAGGGGACAGGGGACATAAAACAACCTCATAAAAGCTACTTACCATTTGCTTAGATTCTCTGAAGTGCTAGAGTAGCATGGAATTTCCCATCTATGTTTTAAATATACTTACATTTATAGCTAATGAAAGAGAATGTTGCTGTTGTCAGAATCAAGAATAAACTCCTATGTAGAACAGCCAAGATACTGCTATCACCATGTGCAACTCTTGAAGATCGTTTTTAATAGCTACCTGCTTGTTATCTGGGCTCTACATTCGTTAGTAGTCTTACTGACCTCTACATGTGCAATAGGAATAGGGAATGGAGTTTTTCCCAGCAACCCTTGCCCATGTCACTGCAGCCAGTTTCCGTGGAGACCCCAGCACTGCTGCCACCGTGACATAGAGACTGGCCCCAGCAGCACTGGCAGGATGTACAGCTGGGTGAGGAGCCGCTCCAGGGCTGGGACCTTGTGGCAGTGACAGCGTGGTCTGAAGCCAGGGCAGAGCTGCAATCCGCTGCCTGCGCATCCTGGGCAGGGGCTTGGCAGCAGCAGATCACAGCTCTGCCCCAGCTCCAGACCACGCTGTCACCACTGCAAGATCCCAGCCCCTGCCACGGAGCAGCTCCCCCACCAGCTGCATCCCCTGCCAGTGCTGCTGGGGCCAGTCTCCATGGAAACCCTGGCCCCACACTGTCAGGGCTCTGCTGCTAATGGGGTCTCCATGGAAACCAGCTGCAGTGATATGGGCAGGGGCTGCTGGGTAATGGAGTCTGCTGCAGGCCAGATCCACTATTTTGCCTACACATGCAATAGCATACTGAGTGTTTAAGTGTCCAAAGAACAATTCTTGACTTGCTGTGCCTAGTAATGAGGTGGCATCACAAGAACATGCATAGAACTAACAAGGTGTTGTTTTCACAACATTTCAGTATTCACTTTTTCCCCCCACCTAATATCATTACTTTTTCTCATTTTATAAGGAAAAATGTTAAGGAAAGTGAGTGTGGATTTTTGCTTTTTGCCTGAAGGAACAATTCTATGACAGATGGAAACTCTGATCTAATGCAAAGTTAGAAAGATTATGCAAACTGCCTCCTGAATTCCATATTTTTACATATTCACCACATTGGCCTCATCCAGGAGTGCTGGGATTTCTTGTAGGATTGCTGAAGATCAGAAATGCTTATGGCTGGATAAAATTTATTCATAAAATAAAAAAAAAAGAAAGAAATTCTCCAAAAACTTATTCAGGTTTTAGGAAGAACCAGGCCACTGGGCACTCTGCTATATGACACTGCAACAGTACAACAAAATTATTGCAAGAAAGATTAAGACCTTCGCTACCCGGGAGTGGGTTTTTTAGCAATCTGATGCAAAGGCAAGCAGCAGTTCCTCTGTTAGTCCCTCCCAGTGTACATAATCCAGCTCATATCCTCCAGGCAGAGGTCACAGAACAAAGAGGAAAAGAATCCCAGTGCTTAGACTCTCCAAAAGCAAGTACCCATCTACCTATATCTCCCTGCTTGCATAAAATGAGAACAAAGGAAGATAGTACCTTCCTTCCGGCACTTGTTGATGAATAATGACAAGTATCCTCCCAGTGTCAGCACTATGTAGGACAAGAAAGCAATGTTGTCTCGCTAGACTGACTCTTGTGGCCATATTCCCTGATACTTTTTCAACAAGCAAACACAGTATCATCAGGAACCAGCTTTTCCTCTTTGTCTAAAAGCACGTCTGCTGGGACAGCAGTTTAGAAGGCGAGTGCTGGCTTTCTTCTGATGATGGGAAATGGGGCACATTTTCATTATGAGGCCAGGGACCACGGTTGCCAACATACCCCTGCTGGTTGAGTTCTAAGCTGGTCCCTCAAAGGCAGAAAAAAATGTTTCTTAAGCCATATTTTCCTGTCAGACCTTTGCAATTCTGAGAAATTATGGTAATGGAAACATTCCAACATGGACCAAAACCAAAAGCTTGTATCAGGGCTTCAGTCACTGGCAGCCTGAGACTGTCTCTAGCATGGTCTCTGAAAACTGGAAGCTCAGTCCTGGAGCCCAAACCCCCATCAGATCCAAAGATTTTTTTTTTCAGTTTTGCCTGTTCCTTACTACTTCCCATCTCACTGGAATATTATTAGGATTAGTTCATTAATATTTGGACAGTGCTTTAAATATATGCAGCACTGCAGACCAGATATTTGTGAAGCCTCCAGGCTGTGCTTGGAGTAAGATACTGTCCAGTTTGAATGAGGAATCCAGTCAGGTCATGCAGGTGCATTGTCATAAATACCAAAGTAGCCAGGGTTCTGGCTCTGTTCTAAGGTTGGGGTGCGGGGAGGAAAAACAGCTTCACATGCTTTACTTGTCCTTTCAAGGAGGATTTGAAGCAGTACATGTGTGTTCATTACCCTGACTGAAAACATTTTTCTTCCTGAATCCTTGCAGCCATTGCTGTTCTTAAGGACAAGGAACCTGGGTCATTCATTGTTCGAGACAGCCACTCATTCCGGGGAGCCTATGGCCTTGCAATGAAAGTTGCTACACCCCCTCCTTCAGTGCTGCAGTTGAACAAGAAAGGTACTGTATGATTCCCATAAAGAGCAGAGGAGCACTTAATTAATACACAGTACGCAGAGAAGTCACCCTCCCTTCCCATAATGGAAAGAACAGTAAGCTCAGTTCAGAGCCAGTCAAATCATAAGTCTCTCTTTGAATTATTTAGAATATCATAAAAATGTTTCCCAGTGGAAGTATAGGACATTTCTGTACTGTGTGATAGTTTCTTGCACCAATTGCCAATTCTACACACATTTTGGATGTCCATGTACTGTGTAATGTTGTCTACATGGAAATCCAGCACCAGATCACCATCTGGACCCCTCCCTATTTAGCAGAAGGCTGTTTTTTATATATTGGGCTCAGTGTGGTGCTGCATACCCTCATGTGCAACAATGGACCTTTTTTGGCCCCAGGAATTTGTTTCAAGATAACCATATATCAGAAACAAGAAGCAGCATGGCAGACCTACTCCCCTGGACAACCATGTCTTAGCACAGAGGCATCAAACATATGTCCAGCTCATGAAGCCATATGATCCTGCCTGTGCATCTCTGGCCAACCCCATGCATTGGCCCTGACCCCACATGCTGCATGCAGCACAGGTGGTTGGCCTGGGATGCACGCTGCATGTGGTGCCCCATTAGACAAGCCCTGGGCACTAGCCCTGGGGCCAGTCCAGATCTAGCTGTACTGGAGCCAGCGTGCCAGGCCAGGCCAGCAGGGTGCCGCATGCAGCATGTGCCCCAGGCTGGTCCCCCTGTGCTGCATGCCAGCCAGTCCATCCCTGTGTACTGCATGCAGCTTGTCCCAGTGTTCGCTGTGCATGAGATTCATGGGGCTGGCATGCAGTGCACAGGCTGGTCCCCACCCTGCACAGGGCATCTGGGCCATGGGCTGCATGTAGCGCCCTGGACTGACCCCCTGTGCTGACTGCGGTGCTGGGTCTAGCCCATGCACTGCAGGCAGGGCACACTCCATGCAGGCTCCACACACTGCATGCACAGGAAGCCCTGGAGTGGGTGCATGCTGTGTATAACATGTGGTCTGGACTTAGCACCATGGTCACTGCACAAGGGGTTGATCGCAGTTCATCCCATAGATCAGCCCAGGGAACCTCATCCAACCTGTAGGGCCAGATGAGTTTGATATCCTTGCCCTATGTGTCACTCCTGAGAGGGAAAAGTGAAAAGAACATACCAACACTTTTGTGCCTGTGCAGTACTTTGGATTATGAATGTGATTAGTGTAAAGCAAACAGGCTGTCTTTCCTGCTGCTACTACTCTCTTTCAAAACCTTGTGGGCAAGTTTGTGTCATCAAAAGCTAATAAGCTAATATGCTTCTACATTCAGTCTCTCCCTGACCACTAATGATTAGAAATCAGCAAGTGCCCTGAACCTTGAGTATTAATATCCCTTTTTATGTCGTATGCCATTAAATATACCTCTGGGTATTTTTAATGTCTGTATTTGAATTTAAGTTCTCAACCTCTTCCTGTGGCACTGAGGTCCACAGTCTTAATTATCTGCTTTTAGCGGTTTTACATTTGTTACTTTCTGTTTTCATTCAATATCCTTTTAATCTTGCATTACAAGATAGAGAGAACAAAAGTTCCTGGTGCCTCTTCCTTGTAACATTCACTGTTTTATGTCCTTTTGTCACATGCTTCCTTTTCTTTCTCTTGTTACTAAAGATAACAGCAGTCTTTTCAATTTCTCACTATGAGTTTTCTCAGGTTCTTGTGCATTCCTTTCTCTGAACCCCTCTGATTCTCCAGTACCCTTCTTGATGTGACCAGAACTGCATGCAGGATTCCAGATGAGAGTTATATAATGATATACTCTTCTTAGTCCCATCCCACACTTTTATGATTACAGGGGTACTCTGAACAGAATTCTTTTTGGGAGTTAGATATGCAACTACTGAGTCTATTTCTTGCTCTGAACTGGGAAGACCAAGCTGTAGACACCAGGACATTGAAGACATTGTTGACACTTCTTTACTATTTGCTATGACTTATCTATCCTACTTCCTCATGCCAGTGGAAAATAAACTCATCCCACCCTGCCACTGCTTTCTTTCCTTATGGCATTGTGGGATTGTGAGGCATCCAGATTTTCTCTGGTCATCTTTGAGAGCAAACTTTTGCTTGCCAATTTTTGCTGGTATTACAGTTCTTGCTATACAAATTATTGTGTTCATTTATGCTGACTTGAACATCCCCAGAGGAATGTGGTTTCCGGATGTCATGTGCCTTCTAGTCTGTGACTGATAAGGCTGGAGACAAAAGGATGTTTGTAATTCTTTTGTTCAAGTTTGATCCCCTCGGTTGTTGGGGGGATCAAACTTTGACCCATTGCCAGAGAGTGATCCTTTCATTGTACAAGGTTTCTCCAAATTCCTGTAGTCAGTGTTCTTAATGCCAAGTGCTGAAACACCATGAATCGGGCCTTCAAAAATAGCTTAAAATACATGAGATGGTTAACAGTGGTAAATAATTGTTGGGTGTGGGATTTACATCATCCAATTTGACTCTTTACGTTTATACTTGAGTTATGGTTTCAAGAATTTATCTGCAACTGTGAGGAATTGAAACTTCTTTTTAAAATCTAAACTAGCTCTAGAAACTAAGATACTTCTATAATTGCCTCTCCAGGAGCTGGAGCTTCAGGTAGACATCAAGTATTGTGAGATTCACAGTAAAATTGAGAGAGTTGGTAGCACCGTATTTGTGCACCTAAATCTTTTGTTCTGCTGCTTTAATCTAAATACAGACCTATTTTCCTTTATTTTATCCTCTTGCTGTATCAGGCACCAGTTATTCTCACTGACCTTTTTATTTTGCCATTTCTCTTCTTAACTACTATTGCAGTTTGCTTTGATTTACTCTTCAGCCCCATCCATTTCCTCCTTTGCTCTCAGGAGGTAAGAAACAAACCATCTGTTTTCTCTGTTTTCTCAGTTAGTATAGAATGACTGGGGCGTGTCCTAAATGTATTGAACAGTTGTACTCATCTGGGTACTGATTGCTTCCAATCTGCAAAACCTGTAGAGTGCACTCGCATGTGCTACTGCGTGTCCTTTTCACTGTAGATTAAAACACAGAGGTGGTGCAACTAATAGACTGTTTGCTTGCTTTGTATAAAGAATTCATTTGTCTAAAGGAAACCACCATCATAAAGACCTCTTATTTTGTGAGTCCATCTCTTATTCATTGACTCCACATGTTTTGTTTTGTTTTGTTTTTCCCACAGTTGGGGATTTGTCAAATGAACTAGTAAGGCATTTTCTGATTGAGTGCACCCATAAGGGAGTTCGATTGAAAGGATGCCCAAATGAGCCATATTTTGGTAAGTAATGTACATCTCAGGATGTATAAAATGAGGGTATTTTAAATAAACCAAGACTGTTTGATGGTGTTAGGTGGCATGCAATAGGAGGGAAACATTCTCTGACTGGAGAGCTGGTTCCTATGTGGAACCTATTCTAATGCTGTCATGTAAATAGGGGTCTAACGAGGCAGCCAGCCGATTTCATGGGCAGATTGCAGCACTAGCCACTGATTGGCGGAGGGGTGGAGCCATATGGCAGGCAGCCCTCTCAGCTAATCAGCAATCAGCAGCGAGGGGCAGGGGCAATGGCCTTTGTGCTGGCAGCCCCCCTTCCCTCCAGGCGGGCTATACATCTGGGAAGATTTCATTTTTATTAAGGCCTTTTTCCCTCCCCCTCCCCTGGATTTCCCAGAGATTGCCCAATTTTGCAAAATCCATGCAAATGTGATTTGGGTAGGTCCCCACATATAAATGTAGTAGGGCTAGAGTGTTGCAATAGTTGTGATGGTCCAGGAAGTGCAGAAGAGGTAAGGAGTTGGTTTTTTGTTCATTTGTGATATCTTTTGTTGGACCAAATGTATAATTGGAAGAGAACTTCGACAAACTTACTTCTTCAGATCAGACTGAAAGCATCCTTCTTCAGATCTGTGAAAGAATCAGACACAGGTCAGGCTAATAACAGAAAACAGAACCTCAGTGGTTTGTGTTAAACTCCATGTTATGTATGTATGTAAACATATATGTAATATATATTAAATATAAATATATAAACATCATACAAATGATCTTCTATACAGGTTTGTAGGTATGCCTGCACGGTTTTAAGCTCTCTAGCTTGGGTGTTACACTAAGCTCAGTGGGCTAACCACCTAGTTATGTCCTAGTTATGGTTTTGGCTTTTTTTTCTTTGGCTGGACTGCTAGCAGTACCTGAGCCAGCTTGTTTACAGTGACTTCAGAGTAGACATAGCCACAGAAAAAGTTGTATTGTGGTAGAATCCAAACAAGCTGGACCATTGTAATAAAATACATCACCTCTGCTGAACTGCTCTTTCTAGAAGAAGTATGTATAAAAATTACAGGTTATGTCACAAGCAAAGATGTCCCAAACCAAAACTGGAGTGAAGTGTGTGAACATTTGGTTTGAAAAGTATTTCGAAGCAGAGGTTTTGGTTCAGTTTTACCTCCAAGTGAAGTACTTGTCTAAAGCATGTGTATAGCCATTACCATAGTATCAGAGCCACTTTTATTCTATATATTCTCGCACATAAAGTCCTGATGTCTTCATTTTCTTCTTTTTGATGTTTAATAAGTTCCTGTTAGTTTTTGTTACCACCAGCCCAAAAAGGCTGTGTTGTGCCTGAGGGGGAGGCACTCCACTCATTTTATCTAGTGATTGTTTAATGCAAAATGAATAGAGAGCATTGGGAGTAGGGGCCAGAACCCAGCCCTCCTTGTCTTCTTCAAGAGCAACCACCTGCCCTGGACAAGAGGTTGAGAGTTGGGCCTGGAACTCAGGCTGCTTGGAAAAAGGTGGGTGGCCTACCCCTTCACTGCCTTCAGCTGCAGTTGGCCAGCCTGCTTTTTCTCTATCTAAGAAAATAGGAATATATGCATGGTTTATACACATTGTATTTAGTGTCTTAGGCACCTAAAACCTGCATACATGCCACTTGAATGTTTTAAAGGCTGAATCTGGGCCTTGGCTTCTCAGGCCACTTCGGTGACTTGCCAAAGAGTGCATAGGAAATGTGCGACAAAGAGCTGAGCTCCCATGCTCCTCTCTAGCAATCATCTGATTTAGTAAATGCTGTGGGTATGTTGTGGGAGTGTCTTCTGTATGCCTAATAGAAGCAGCCTTCCCTTCATATATTCTGCACTGTTCAAGGATTAAAGATTATCAGAGAACTTTGCTTTTCAGACTGCACAGCTATCTAACCTGTGGGCCTGTGTTGGTGCACTGGAGAACTTGCTCCCAATTTTTGGCCCATCTTAACTTCAGAGATACACACCATCTGTACAGCAACCAGTCCAAGTAGCCAGACCAAACATCAGACAGATCCTTCAGGGCCTGAGAACTCTTCCTGTCCTGTGAAGTGTCTACATAGCAACAGCAGAGATTAGCCTTCTCACTACAGTGGGAGGACTTCACAGTGGCCCTCCTGCCCATCTCCAGGTTCACCTCTGACTATTTTCTTTTTCTATACAGCCATTTCTTCCTGCCCCATCCCTCACCTTCTACAAAGGAATTTTTATAGCTGCAAGGGACCCAACTGAGCCCAGATCTACAAATGGTTGAGCACCCTCACAGCAGTAAGAAATGCAGGTCCTCAACAATTGAAGGAATGGCTCTATTTTAAAAGTTTTTGATAATCTAAACAAAATGAGTTGTTTGATCCGGAACTCAGGTTTGATTGGAATATCTGTTAATATTTTTGAGTATCTGAAATTAAAGACTGCAGTAATAGACTGACCAACGCTGCATGTTCATTTAGGTTGCTCCCCACAATACAGAATGTAATGACAACATAAGATTGACTAAGATCTACTTACTTTTATGGGAACAAAGGGTGCAGTACTGCAGGTGGCTTTGAAAATCTGTGTCCTACTGCACAGTTGAAGCAAACTAAGGTTTAGGACATTCATTAAGAGGAGAAATGATTTAACTGGCGACACCATGCCTTGAGAAGTGAGGATTTCCTCTAGCTGTTTTTTTACACTACTAAGAACACAAAATGATTGAGTGCATTTTCTGGGTTCTTTCACTGCCTCAGAGTGTGACATCAGGCAAGTTAGTTAACCAACTGTTCTTATCTGCCTCTCAAAATTTCAACCATGGGCAAATTAATATTTGTAAAATGCATTATGGTCTTTAGGGCTAGAGACAGAAGTTACACACAAACCAGTTTTAAGTGACTAGAAACCGGTTTAAACCTGTAACAGAACATTAGTTCAGTGTACATAAACCACTTTCAAAATGGCTAAAGCTGATTTAAAATAAACAGGATGGATATAGTATCAGACTTAACTGATTTAGGTCAAACCAGTTTATTGAACTTTTGTCCCAGATCCCCTACTGATTCAAGTTAACTGGAAGTCCCCTAGCATCCCATGATGCCTTGCAGCCCTGGTCTGTGCTGTCTGCTCCAGCAGAGCAGTGCCCCCCCAGTCACAGATTTGAGGCAGTAAAGCTTTTGTTCCCTAGGCTCTGCCTGTGCCCATTAAAACAGCAGGATTAGGGGGCAGGGGAAGGAACCCCAGGCCCCCCTAGCCTGGATCTGCACAGCATAAGGGGAGGGAAAGCATCTTCCATGGGGCATATCTAAAACTGGACTAAAAGTGACTTAGCCCCACCCCCCACCAGCTGCCCTTGCCTCAGAGGAGCTCTGGTGGAAGGGGGGTGACACATCCCTGCCTGGGGTTGGGAGCCCCCCACTGAGGCTGGGGGATCCTGCCTGCCCTGGGCTGGAGGGACTTACTCACCTACCTGTGGGGTCAGGGCCAAGCCCATTCGGGACCATACTGAGGGGTGGGAAGGGGGAGTCCCTGCTCTGCACCAGAGGCAGGGCTTGGGGGACCTTGCCAGGGTCCAGGAATCCCCACTGAGGCACAGGGATCCAGCCAGCCCCAGACTGGGAGGGCAGCAATATGTTTGGGGGGCATGTGCTGGGCAGCAAATCAAAGATGAGTCCCACTGGGCTGCATTTGGGTGGCCTCAGTAGTGGCCAGCAGGCTGGGAGGCATTCTCTAGCACCCTCCCCCAAAGCTTCTGGTACAGGCCACTGCAGGGGTCTGGCTGCCTTTCCAGTTTCAAAACTGAACATCAGTTCACTGTATTATTGGTTCAGTCAATGCAGTTTAGAGAAACTTGTGATGATTAAATCAATTCAGCCTCAGGCTTTTTGGCTATCTATGTTTAACCTAGATGAAATGCACTAATATGTGTATTATTAGGGCGTTTTGTATTTGAAACCTATCTCTGAGCTATTATAGTTAGTTCAGTAAAACAGGGGCGGGCAACCTGTGGCATGGGTAGCGTCTGGGTGTGGCATGCAGCAGATGAGAGAGGGGACAGGCAGCACAATGGCAGGTAGGGCAGGGAACAAAATGCAGAGCAGCATATGAGGCAGAGGAAAAGAACTAGAGTGGCATTCAGGATGGGTGCAGGGCTAATCTGTGGCACACCTACCGAAATGGTTGGCCCCACCACAGTAAAAGATGTTACCAAACAAATCCTGCTTCTCTCTAGTTACTGTTGTGATTGTCATCTTTCCATTTCAACTAAAACCTAGTCAAATAGTATAGCGAGGCTTGCAGTTGTAATGCCTAGTTAATGTAAACGGAATCAGGCATGTACAATGATGCAGCAATGGATCTGTTAAAAATTACCAAAAACGGCAGTTGTAAAAATGGATTAGGCACCAAGAAAATATTTTGAAAAGAAATTTTTTTAGCCCATAAAATATTTGAAAGCAACGTAACTCCTAAACTTCTCTTTGTTCACTGAAGCCAATCTTGCATGTCTTGTTGCTCTTTTAACCACAGGGAGTTTGACAGCTTTGGTGTATCAACATTCCATTACTCCTTTGGCATTGCCCTGCAAACTACTCATCCCAGACAGAGGTAAGCTTGCTAAAGTACAAAATAACTGTGTACAATCCAGGGTTCTGTTTCGAACTAAATACATCTTTAGGCAGGTAAACATGTTCAGAACTTTACTTCTAACAAGAACGTACAAGAAAGGACATTTGTTTTATAAAAGTGGTTTCACTGTTGCTAGAGGCTCTCAAATAAGCTAGAGATGAGAACACACTAGGACTGTGATATTCCAGTAATAGTCATTCATGACTCATGGCAGTTAGTACTGCAGTCCAGTATTATTAAATATATATATTTCACCGGGTTAACCTCACACACCCAAGTATGGCTAGGTTCAACCACAAATCCTCTAAAAAAGAGATGTGGGAAAGATGCCCATAATGTGAAGTTGAGGGAAAAAGCAACAGCCTTTTTGGGGCCCAAATGTTGCAAAAGAAATTATTATTAAGAGCATATGTTAAGTGAAGCTATTTTGGGCTGTGGTGATGCATAGCCCACTTTAAGACATCAACAAGATTCTTCTATATACTGCTTGCCCCGTAATTCATAATTGCACGTTTATTCTCCCAGATGCAATTGGTACCAGAGGCATTGTTGAAATATTAAACATTCTTGTGGTGTTCTGTTGAACACGTAAAGGAGGAGATCCCAAAGTGCAGCTTGTGGACCTCTTGCAGACTGCTAAATGTTTCTATATGACCCATTAAGGAACATTTTGATAGTGCCCATCCTCATCAGAAACAACCAATTAGTGAAACACAAGCTTTTGACTGTTCAGTAGTAATTTACTGACAAACCTTAGCAGCAGCAATGTGATCCAGGGTTAAGAGTAATTGAGGTCCTTTAAAATGGGCTTCGTAAACTGGAAGGGAATGTAGCTTCCTCTAAATCCCAAAAAGATACCAAAAAGCAAATGACTCTCGGTTATATGAGCTGGTATGACCCATTTTAATGGCAAGAAAAGCTGCATAAGACCTACTTGAACTAAACAGTTCATGCTAGAATCTCCTTAATATAACCTTATCTTCATGTTGCCTCACCCTAAAAGATGGAAAAGCTTGAGCATCCACCGTGTGCTGGGCATGATTTCCAGCTCCTCACTCACAAACTGCTGGTAGTGCTGTATATGCTTAGTGAGCCATGAATTCTACCATGTGAGCACAGGTTCTGGTGGCAATGTCACAGTGCCATATGAGTCCCCACTTCGACTGGCAATGGATTCCGTGTACCAGACCTTATGACCTGAATAGCGCTTGAAGGCTTTCTTGAAAGAAGACAACAGGCTATCCACACTGGGGATCTGCATGCACTAGATATCACTTACTAGAACAGAACGTGCCCATTGCAGATGACATGAACAGCATTGGGAAGCATTCGTTGGAGCACGTCAGAGAGTCTTGCACATATACAGAGTCTTGTAGATTTCATTGTCAGATAGGAATGCTGAGATCTTGTTAAAGTCTACACTATAGTTGACAATTACCTTCACGGTGGCTTGGGACACAGTAGAAAAATAGAAAAATGTGAGGTGGACCAGTTCACTTTGAAACACAAGCAGGTCCTGGTTGGTCCAGCTCCCCAGTACAGACAAAATGTGCAGCACATATTTATCCTGAGGGTCAGCTTCATCAGCTACAATGGAGAAGAAACTATACTCTGCCAAGGTAGCCTTCATGGATTGTACATGTGAATCAACCACTGTAGGGAGATAGTCTTGGTGAAGCTTGTTGGCATGCAGAAAATTGCTGGCATTTGGCATATTTTCGTTCAAGTAGTCCCTTAACTTTGGGTGATCAAGTTTCTCCAGTGGGATGTTCACTGCCGTGAAAGACTCCATGAGGGAAAATGCTGCCTCACCTTGCCAAGCTGCGTTCTGTGGTCCTTTTAAACAGGGACAACACAGTCACTTGCTTCATGCTCTAACCTTCAGCCTCTGCAGCATCCTTCCTCTTCATGTGTCTCAGACTCCCAAGTGCCAGTCTATGCTGGTTTTCCTGGATCCATCCAGAGTTACACTGCAGGAGGTACAGAAGAGTCTGCCTCTGTCTGCATGCAAGGTCCCTGCAGGATACTGTCTTGCACAGTCCAGCACTGAAACATATTTGGCCATCTTAGAGGATTTCTTGTCAGCGACACACTGAAGAAGAATATTCCTCAGGCGGGAGCATGCATGCTACAGGAGCATGTGTGTGGGCACTTTAAAAGCTGGCACCAAAACCCTCCCATTTCCCTGGTTGGCCCATGACTGGCTCCTGGACTGAACCTAGGTCAGGGGCTCAGCCTCCAATTTCCTCCTTCTCCCCACCTTTCCCTCCCTCTGCATTTCAGAATGTAACGGCTTCCTGCCCTTTTCTCTGCTCCGTTGCAGTTAGAAAATTACTTACTGTTTCTGGCCAAGGATTGTCCAGCATATGATGTCATAATTTCAAGCATGAGACTCTTTGTTGACCATTCAGATTGGTACTGTAACTTGGATGGAGAAATTAATGTGTATAGTGGTTTCTATTTACAGACCCATTGGAGGAGATAGCAGAAACTTCTCCACAGACTGCAGCAAACTCAGCAGCTGAGCTCCTAAAGCAGGGTGCAGGTAAGTAAAGTTCCCCAGTGTTTGATTTTACTCTGTTTGTTCTTGAATGTGTCTTGCAGGCTGAGGGAAGAGTAAGGATGATAAAAGGGGAGCAGGTAAATCAGACTGCTACACTGGCTCTGTGGAAGTGAGGAAAAATGCAGTTTTTTCCCTCTAGTGGGTGATCTGTAAAGTCCATGGGGCTTTACAGCTACTACCAGCTGAGTGGTAAAGGCCAGTGGTCAAGGACCCAGGTGTTCAGTCCTGTTCTCTGGGTGAGCAGGGTTTATCTAGCTGTCTGCAGGTGGCATATCTTGCATGAGTGATAACCTTTTATTTATAGCCAATGTGAAAATGCTTTTTCATTTGTCATCTGAGATAGTCCCTTGCCAAGAAATACACTGGTTAAGGACTGCCATCATCTTCTGTCAAGAGGCATTTTCTAATGCCACTCTGTCAGAGTAAGGTTGCCTTAGCTAGCTAGGTGGCATACTGTTATGCCATGATAATCCCTCTCAGCCCCCAGTGTGGTTGGTACACCCTTAGGGCATAGGAGGATCCAGGAATTTGTAAAGGGGGTGTGGGATCACTGACCAGTTCTGCAGGGGTAGATATACCCCCTGCTCCTAGCCTCCCCCCAACCCCATGGGGACAAGTGACCATGCAGCAAGAGCTGCAGCAAGGATTTGTTTTTTTAAGTCCCTGAATCAGGTAAAAATCCCACTCCCACACCCTCAGCACCCTGTCCCTTCCCCTCCATGCTTGGCAGTACATGGCATCCCCTCACCTCCAATTTTCTCCCTCTCCCCTGCCCCTGACTATTGCTGATTCCAGCTGACCCCAGGAACAGGGCTAACTCCAGAACTGCTCCTTCCCCACTCCAGCTGAGCTGCATGGGGCGCAAAGCTCAGCCAGCAGCAGCAGAGGCAGCAGGCAGGTTCCCCTTCCCATGCCTGCTCCCAGCCTGGCAGGGAACAGCTCGGGGACCAAGCAGTGAGGTGAAACCCACCTGTCACTGCCATTGTCCTCAGCTGAGTCTGGCTTCCTGCTTAGCCCAGCTGGAGTGGGACAGAAGCAGCTCTGGAGGTTCCCCTGCCTCTTGGTCAGCCAGGGACAGCAGCAAGTAGAGGAGTGGGAAAGTGGAAGGAAAAAGGTTGTGCTACTGAGTATGGAGGGGGAAAGAGGTGGAGGGTTGTTTTTTTTCTTACTTGTTTTAGGGACTTGAGAAAGTCCCTGGCTGCTGTTCGTGTGATGTGGTGTAATAGGGGAGTAAGACCAAACCACTTCCCCCCCTCTGGATCTGCCCCTGCCCTGGAGAAAGGTACTATAATAACCTTATATCCCACTGATTTCCTGGTCACTGGAATATCATTCAGGCTTCACTGAGTCACACCTTGGGTTCAGTTTAGTGCCCAGTGACACAGTGGTAGATGGCAGGGTATTACATTAGCCACCTGTTTCCTCACAGCTTCCCCAAATGCAGAAGCACAGATTGAAAGATCTTGGGGCAAGGGGTTTCCTGCTGTCTCAGAGTGCTGCACAGCTGCTCTGACCTGTTGCAAAGCATTCAGCACAGAAAAATACCATGCTAAACAGCACTGCTGCATAATTGGGAAGCAGTCTGTTTTGACAATAGAAATTGCAGTGGTGCTTTGAATTGAGCAGGAACGTGTGGCTGAGGTAATAGTCAGCATTGGCCAAGCTGTGCTGGAAATGCGCATATGTTGTCATTTGTCTGCCACTACTAGTCATGGATGTTGTGGCCACTAAAGGAAGAGCCAAGGAGGAGGAATTTGAAAGGAAAAGTTGCATAAATGAACTCATCATAGAAGGCATGCATTTATTCTCAAGGTCCAGCTGGGTTCTCATTGTCCAGGCAATGTTTAACCTTCTTAGACCAAAGAAATAACTGTATTTCTTTTATTTCTTCCATGAATAGTTAGCAGCAGCTACATATGGGAAATGTCATCTTAAAGATAATGTGAAAATAAAATAATTGTCTAATTTTGATACAGTGACCTAGAACCTAAATAGGAAAGGCCATTTGGGGATCCAGTGTCTTTGCCCTACTACTTGGAATGCCTTGTTCAAACACTGGTAGCCTGCATCACTTCACATTAACTTTGTTTAGTTCAAACATTTTTCTCTCCTGTCACACAAACATTCTTGATACTGAGTTCAGTATTAATTAAAGCTGTCACTCCAAGCAGATAGTCAACTTCTTGTCTAAACAGCAGACCTTACATGTAAACAACTATGGCTTGGTAAATCAGATGAGACAACCCTATACACTTACTGCAACCTGAAAAGGCCAAGTAAAGATATGTGCTCCTAGGTTAACCATTTCTGTAGCTAAATCAGAAAGGAGAAGTAGGGAGTGCTCTCTTCCTTACCATGAATGTGGAACTCCAAAGTACCAGCCGTGCAGCAAAGAAAAGAAAACTATAGGGTGAGTGCCATCCCACGGTCATTTTTCCTTTGTGCTTGCTACCAAAACTGATGCTATGGAATCACTAGTATTGGGTTCTCTTTGCATCAGTTCAGAGCACAAATTGTACACTTAAATTAAAAATTCTAGTCTGTTCCCATTGAAAAAAAATCCTATGTCCCACTGCCATTATCATATTCTTTCCTGATGCCTCCCAAAGCTCGAAGAAACCAGGCACTCTGTTACCATATTTTATTACAGCAGCTGCTGGAAATTGGAGTGTGCATTATATGCAAGAAATATGGTAAGAACTGTTTCTGCCACCTACAGAGCAAAAGCAAAAGTAAAATCCACATAGGATCTGCAGGGAGCAGACAACATTAAGCAGGCTCAGTTTCCCGGTGGCTGCTACTCAGTTACTTACTATGATGAAACATCTTTTTTTCTTCATTCTGCCTTTCAAAAACAAGGTGCCTATCTTATTCCAGGGTGCACTGTATGTGAGAAAATATTGTGTTTATCCAAATTAGGGAAATGCACACAGATTTTAGTGAAGGACAGTTGCAAAGGAGTAGCCCCATATCATTCTCTCAGTGGAAAGTGCGCCTTTGATGCAACTTTGTCACACTCCAGCCAGCAGCCTGTGCAAGTGTAATGCTACATGTCAGACCTTGGCCTGAGTGAGTCGCATTGTAATTAATTCAAGCAAAGTGACTGAGGCAATAACTGAACATGGGTTAGGATTTTTTTTTCACTCATAATAAGGGAATCTTGTTAAGACCATGGTCTGAAGTTGAACCGATGAAATCTAAAAGCAGATCATTGGTTCATATCACTGCATTTTTTTCCATCTCTTCCATCCTTTTATTTAAACAACTACCTGTGGACCAAATTCATTCCAACTTTCAGTCCAACCAGAGGCCACTGGGTTTTAAAAAACAGAAATGTGCTCAGTATTTTTTCTGGAATGGCAAACTTGTTAAATCTGTGTAAAAACACTTTGTACTTTGAAAGTGTCAGAGCATAGGGAAGAGTCTTTCCCCAAATTACAGGGGAGCCATGTGTAAAGCACAGCTGTTCATTTTCTGACTTTTTAAGGAGGGAGGCAAAGTGTGCCAATATTTGAGGCAAGGGCATAGGTTGTAGCTCTGTTCATCTAAGGACATAGGCAGACAAGGTTCTTTGGGTAAATCTGGTATCTTTTTAGACCAACTAAATAGTTGGAAAAATTTTTCTTTGCAAGTTTTTAGGTTTAAAAACCCTTTGTCAGGCTGAGGAAGCATCTGCAGTTGGTGTGTGCTCTTCATTCCATCCCGGAAGAGGACACACCAACTACAGATGCTTCCTCAACCTGATGACAGGTTTTTAAACCTGAAAGCTTGCAAAGAAAAAAATTTCCAACTATTTAGTTGGTCTAATAAAAGAATCTTTGAGGCGGTGTTTTAACGATGCTAATTAATGCACACTAACATAATTATCAAGTTTAGTATAGATACCTATATAAATATTTGTACCAAGAAACAAATTTTGCTAACAGCTGAGTTAACCATTGGCATGTCTTTATCCTGTGAAATGGGTGTCGATTGGACTGTACCGGAGGGCTAAACAAGCTTTGCAATTTCAGAGTTTCTTTATATACAGAAACTATTTGGGATTATCTAAACTGTGGGCTCTGATTCAGCATAGTAATTATGTGTGCCTCTAACTTAAAGGAAACAACTTGTTCTCTTAAGCAGCTTGCTGGGTTGGGGTCCTAGCACACATTCTAGTTCTGTATGGAAGGTCAGGTTTCAGGTGCCAGAGATAAATTATCAGAAGTTTAAAAAACCCTGTGGGCCACAGATAATATGGATGTATTGAAAATGGCTAATGCTCTATGAAACACAAATGGAGTAGATGGCTATAAGTCAGAACTTTATGGTTTTATTACATCTCTACTGGAATTATAGATATAGACCTCTTGAGCATATATTGACAACATTTTATAGGAGCAGGACATTGGCTGTTGTGGTTCCTCTGCTTTACCTGTGGCAGATTAGGGTGTTAGGTCTATGCTGGGTCAGGGTTGATGGTAGTCTTATGTAGAGTTCAAATTAGGGTGGGCAAGTAGTTGGGCCTAAGTGGCGTTTAGGGAGGTTTGATGAGTTGTCATGGGCCGGGCCAGGACCCTCCCTCCCCCGCATTCCCAGTGCAGCTGCAGCCAGCAAGGTGCCACTCTGTTCCCCTCACCTTCAATAGGAGCCACCTGGCTCATGCTTCCCCCGCCTGCCTGCTGAAATCAGCATAGCAGGGGCAGGGGCGGGAGGAGGAACTGCTGCTGGAGGTGAGGGGAATAGAGCAGCACCCAGCTGGCGGCAGCCACACCAGAAACATCCCTGCTGGAAGCTGTGTACGCTGGGGGGGCCTGGGCTGGCAGGACTGTTGTGCTTCTCTCACTTCCAGCTGTGGCTTCCCCTCCTTCTCCTGCCCCTGCTAAGCCACTCTGGGTGGGTGGCGGGGGGAAAGCTTCAGCCAGGCGGCTTCTCCTGTCTCAGCACATGGGGCTCCAGCTCCCAGCTGCCTTCCACCATTTCCAGCTGCCCACAGGTGGCTGTTCATTGCACTGGGGGGCAGGGAAGAGTGGGTGGAAGGCAGCTGGGAGCTGGAGCCAGAGCTCCATGCGCTGAGACAGGAGCTGCCTGGCTGAAGCTCCCCTGGCTCAGAGCAGTGCAATAAGGGCAGAAGCAGTAGGAGGAGGTAAGCGAAGCAAAACAGCCCTGCTGGCCCAGGCCCCAGCCAGTGCATGCAGCTTCCAGCGGAGCTGTTCCTAGTGCAACTGCAGCCACCAGGGTGCTGCTCTGCTCCCCTCACCTCTAGCAGCAGGCCCTCCTCTCACTCCTGCCTCTGATGCACTGCTCTAGGTGGGTGGCAGGGGGGAGGAAGCTTCAGCCAGGCGGCTCCTGCCGAAGGTGAATGGAGCAGAGTAACACCAGGAACAGCCCTGACAGAAGCTGCACGCGCTAGTCGGGACCCAGGTCAGCAAGCAGCTGCCCTGGCTGGAGCGATTGTGGCTTGACCCATGCATAGCACTACGGGGGCAGCCGTGGACTGGATCCAGTCAATTGGCAGGCTGTATTTTGCCCACCCCTGGTTTAGATTATGATTGTATAGGATAGTTTGGATAACGATTATTCTGCCTCAGGCAGGGGGTTGAACTAGATGACCTCTGGAGGTCCCTTCCAGCCCTAATTCTCTATGACTTCATGTCCCTTTAGGACTGTCATTGAACTCCCAAAAAAAGACAAACTCCGAGTTAGACGCCATTTAAAAAAAAGGATGTACAAGATCAGAAATAGTTATTCCATTCTTCTTGAAGTTGCTGTTTGCATGGAAACTACTGAATACGTAAATCACTAAAGAAGTAGAACTACATAATAATCCTAATTTCTTTGTAGGGAAAAAATGTTCTTGTTGTCTTGACAAATGAGTGAATAGTTTCCTTTGACTGAATGCACTTCAGATATAACTTGAAAGCATGATTATCCGTGAACTGACACTGCAAAACTGTGAACCCTGGTATTTCTATATTAGCTGCAGTAATTGAGTTTCAATGTGGAATGCTGACATTCCCCTCCCACAGCCACATTTTTGCTGTAGTCAGTCCTAAGAGTGCCCTTTCTCAATGCTGTTTTTGTTGTCTGTCATTTGGATTTCAAAGATACCTGCAAGTGAAGGGCACTGTAGTATTGCGGGTACTGTAAAGACATACCATCAAAATATCAGATGCCTCTGCCCCAAGAGTGTACAATGTAGATTAAAAAAAACCAAAAACTTAAGTGGAACTTGACAAGTATAAGGAGAAGCTAATGAAATAACCCTGAAACTAGGCAGGAGTCCCAGAGAGAATCAAGCAGGAGCTTTTTAAGCAAAGACAAAGATAACTCCTGAAACCTTTCCCTTGTTCTTTGCAGCATGCAATGTCTGGTACCTGAATTCTGTGGAAATGGAGTCTCTTACAGGCTACCAGGCAGTGCAGAAAGCCCTGAGCATGATGTTGATACAAGATCCTCCTCCCATCTCTACTGTGGTTCATTTCAAGGTGTCTGCCCAAGGGATCACACTGACGGACAATCAGAGAAAGTGAGTGAAGTCCAATTCTGACTCTGGTCTGACACTCCGACCCTAATAAAGCTGCTGTGGAGTAACTGTGTCTAGCCCTATTCAGCACTGCAGTCTACTTGTGGCTCAGACACATAGTGCAGTTATCCTTGGTCTAAATGATAACAGCAGATCCATCCCAGAGCATGCACTCTCTGCAGTAGCAGAAAGCAAATCTTGAGTTGTTACCACTTTCTCCAAATGGCCCCTCTCCTCTCCAAATGATAGCAGTCCTACAGCATTATTTTCAGACAACAGGAGGTAATTCCAGTGCTCAGGACAGCTTTTGCCATCCACCATACTTACTGAAATGGGCTGTGTTCTCTCGTGTGTCTCAGCCATTGCTAAACAATGTTGGTGTAAGCAGACTCCGCTCTGCCAGTATTTAGGACATTGCTTTCATGTGCCTCATGCTGGCAAGCTGCTCTCTTAACAATTAAATTCCATTTGCTCTCTACTGAAGACTGTGAGGGTCTTTAGATTTCAAAATGCACATGAAACACCTTGGTTTCCATGGCTCTGCAACCACTTGAGATAGGTCTGAATCTAAAGAGGTAAACCTCAAGCCAAAATTTTCAGTAAATAAATGCTTAAACTTAAATCCTTAATGTGGTGTGATTTCTCAAAGGTTTCCAAGTGCTTACATCTCCCACTAAAGTCACCTCTGTTTAGGTGTCCAGCTTTGGACATAGGATTTTGAGAATCTTGGTGCTCTGACTTACTTTGGAAGCAAGTTTTCTGTTCTGTTTCTTGTGAGCCATTATCTTTAAATTAGTACTCTGAGCAAAAAAATATAGCTGCTGAATTTACAGAGATGCAGCTATTCAGTTCTCTTATTTCATTACTTTTTATTTTCAAAGCATTTAAAGAGTTGGTCCTCGCATACTCTTTTGCTAGATAAAATCAGGCCTCGAATAAGTATTCATTTCTAGCAGAGGAAATTTTTGAAAAATTTTGAGTGCTGCTACTGGATCCCAGAGTCCAAAAAACACACGCTAAAAAAAGCAGTGGGGCACACGTGGCAGCAGCATGTACTGCCCAAAACCAGAGCCTGGCCAGCTGGAGCCATGCTTCGGCTGCTGGCCAAGCTTCCTGCTGTGGCTGCAGCCCTAGGAAGAGCCCCCAGGACCCTGTGTAGGCTGCTGAGGCCAGCACAGTTGCTGGCCTTGGCCTCCCCTACCCCACCCAGGGTAACCTGCAGCGCACCAGAGCACGTGGCACGGGTGTTCCCCAGGGACAAGGTGCCACAAGGTGTGCTGCTGCTACTTGTCCCTGGGGAAACAAATGTCCATGTTTGTCGGATGCATCCTGCAAGTACTATGTAGGTGGAGCTTCTTCCCCACATGGCACTTCAAAGTCAGTGCCTTCAGGCCTCGCAGAAGTGGAGGGAACAGCAGGGCAAAGCACCTACCTGTTACTCAGACCTGGTACCCAGTTCCTGGTCTGGGGAAGAGGCAGGGATCGTTATCCCACTGCTTCCTTCCCCAAGTGCATGCCCCATGGAGTCCCTGCTGCTCCCCTCCCCTCCCAGATCAGACTGGGAAGGAAGTGTACAGGCATTCTTTAATGCAAGAGAAACTCTTTTGCAAGGGAGATCTTCCAGGGTGATGCATGGAAGATCTTCTCCCAGAAAGGGCATGTTTCCGCCAGGAAAGATTGAATGAATGTTTGTACACTTGTCATTTCTACCAGGGGGGTGGTGATTCTCCCAGTAGAAGTGTAACAGCTATACCTGGCTACAGTCGTAACAAAAGACCTTATTTTTTTCAGTGAGGCCCTAGTCTTCCAAGTTGCTGCTTGTTTTCTAGAAGGCACTGGCACCTAACTGCTCCTGAATATGGAGGTGGTCAGGGCCTGAGGACCTACCAAGAAACACTCAGTGCATTGCAGAATTTACCCCTAGATTGGGAATGTCATTATGGAGCCGGATTCCCAGAAGCACCTGGCAGCTCCTATTCAGACAGGATCCTGAGCGCTTGAACTCTTTTGAAAATCTGGCCCCTTTTTACTATCTAAATGGGAGTGAAGTTCTTAGACATCTGGTTCCTGGTGTCATCTCTATTTCTGAAACCTTTCAGAATCTTAGGAATGCCTAAAACTTGTTTTATTTTCTCCCACCAGACTCTTTTTCCGGAGGCATTATCCTGTCAATACTGTTATTTTTTGTGCTTTGGATCCACAGGACAGAAAGTAAGGAAGATGAACACTTATTGTTATTTTGTGATATTGATGTTGTTGATCTACAAGAGCTAATGTGTTCTTTGTTTTTCTGTCTCTTGTTATTCCCCCCCTGCACACAACAAGGTGGATGAAAGATGGCCTTTCAGCAAAGTAAGTCAAGAGTGGTTCTCATCTGCATGTCTAAAGTATGTCTATTGTGTAATGACAGGTAGCACTGCACGTTGTTGCAATGTCATCTCACACCACCCCACATTTAGTGTTTCTTGTCAACAGGTTAGTGAGACCAAGGATTGAAGCAACCAGGGCAGAAATACACTAGAGATAGTCCTTTCTAGCCTGGTTTGAAGCACTTTGTAGAGGTGTTATAGAGAAACTTGGTGTTATTTTTTCTAAGACGACGATAAGTTTGAAGACTGTCAGCCTTCTTGTCTTTAACTAAAGTGACACCAGTATGTCCCTTTTTTAAAAATGGGAATGGTCATATGGACTCTAGCATAGAGGCTTTTATTTTCAGGGTATCTTCTAAACTAACTACTTTCTTACTTGTCAGCAAAACAGCTGCTAAGAGGTGAAAGTAGTGTCTGAGTCCAGTATAACAAGCCTTTTGACTTCCTCTGAATTCTAGGTGCTCAGCTACTCTGAGAAGTAGTTTCATAGTAGCTAGGGTCAGGAGGGACCTGAACAGATCATCTAGCCTGACCCCCTGCCACAGGCAGGAATGAATGCTGGGTTCACAAGACCCCAGACAGGTGATCATCCAACCTCCTTTTGAATTTGCCCAAGGTAGGGGCAAGGACCACTTCCCTGGGAAGTTGGTTCCAGCTTTTGGCCACCCTAACTGTAAAAAATTGCCTTCTGATCTCTAACCTAAACCTATTCTCCATCAGCTTATTACCATTGTTCCTTATCACCCCAGGTGGTGCTGGGGAGAGAAGGGCTCTACCTATTTGCTGTTGATCTTCCCTGATGAGTTTGTAGGCAGCCACCAGGTTCCCCCCTCAGCCTCCTCTTGCTGAGGCTGAACAGGTTCAGGTCCCTCAGTCTCTCCTCATAGGGCCTGTCCTGCTGCCCTCTCACCAAGTGGGTGGCCCTCCTCTGAACCCTCTCCAGGCTGGCCACATCCCTCTTGGAAGTGCGGTGCCCAGTACTGGACGCAGTACTCCAACTGCAGCCTGACCAAAGTCACATAGAGTCATATAGAGTCACCAGTTGTGCCAGGATGGACACCCAAAACCTGCACAGAATTAGCCTGTGCTTTTTGAGTTGTAGGGGTAAGTGCCTTGAGTGTGGCAGAGCAAGTACCTAAAGGGTGAGGAAGTGGCAAAAATAGACACACGCTCATTTGACCCTCAGTCCTCTGCTCTGCCCACCAAACAACATGATCTCCAATAAATTAATCTAGGTCAGGTTTAACTGATCATTTATTTTGGTCAGCCAGAATTAGAACTGTGCTATAGTCCCAGGCTCTCACTTAACACATTTCTATCAGTCGAACTTAGATTTCTTGACATAAGAGGCCAATACCATTATCCCAGCATTTTGGGGTGAGGAAACTGAGGCACAGAGAGGTGAAGTGACTTGCTTAGCTTCATACAGCAGACCATGGGCAAAGCAGGAATAAAACAGAACCCAAGTCCCATTTGGTGTTCTCCCCACCAGACCACACTACCTTGAAAGCCTTTTCTTCTTCAAGCAGTATTTTTTTCTGCTTCCAAAGCAAACTTGTTGCCATCTGTCTGTCTGACTGTTCGCTAACATACTTTCATTTTGCCCACTGCAGAGTGTTTGGATTTGTGGCAAAGAAGCAAGGCAGTCCCACAGACAATGTGTGCCACCTGTTTGCAGAGCATGATCCAGAACAGCCCGCCAGCGCCATTGTGAACTTTGTGTCAAAGGTTATGATTGGTTCCCAGAAGAAGATTTGAAGCCTTCCCGGCCTGCAGTCCAGAGCTCTTTGCTGACTCCAGGGAAGGCGATACAGGGGTAAAAGCATATTTGGGAATATGCAGCTACTTCATCTGACCCTAACCACTCCTCAGCTGCTACACCTTTCGCTGAAGGAAAGCAGAGGACAGTTCTGTCTCGCTAACAGCACAGAGAGTGTGCTCCTTTCTTTAAAGACATTTCTGATCTATCAAAACATTGGGTTTTTCTATCAAAGGCAGAGTTGCAAACTGAACAAGTTGAGTATCACCAAAAGTCATGTAGCCCACGTCTAAATTAAATGTAGAAGACTTTCCAGCAAAGGGATTTTAATGTATTTTCTTTTCTCAAAAAAAAGCATTTGCCCACTCATCAGATCATGCTATTTTTATGCTGAAAAAATGTTAGAACCACATATGTTCTCTTATACACTTGCCACAATCGCATCAATGGTAGCTATGGCCCATGCAAACAGATGTTCTTAAGAGAATGGGGGTCTGTGAAGGACCATTTGCTCTTCCCTTCATCTTTATACAGTAATAGTGGGAGCTGAACTTGGAAGGTGCAAGATATAGGTTAGGTGCAGGTTAGTGCAAGGTAATTTCTTCTAAGGGTGCAGAGGCATGGCATTTTCAGGGCATATGGCTAGGTTTGTGTGTGAGGAAAGCTGAGATTTTTAGTTTGTGTAATTTTAAAGCAGAGGAGCTGACCAAAAAAAAGGTTGTGCAGAAAAGTATTCCGTGACTGGATTTTTTTTTATTATTATTATTTTTATACAAAAAGGTAAGCAGGGAAGATCTCTATTTTAATAATTGCAGGATAAAAATGAGGGAAAAGCAAAGAAGAAAATGATTTTGTATAATTTATATATTTTTGCTGGTGCCAGATTATTTATAGTAGACCTGAGATCTCAATATACTATATGGATATTCTTATACTAGTGCCATTGTTCTGCTTGGCTTTTCTAATACTATTTTGCCAAATATAGCATGTTGCATGTGCTTTGCTGTAGTGAGTAGAGTTTCATATTCTAAGTCTTGTCTTACAGTGTTAAACCACGTCCCATCTCCCATCCTTCCAGAACTAATGTTTTGACTATGACATAAGCTGTCCCGCCCCGTAGTTACTTACGGTCATTCTTTCAGAAAATTTTTTCTTTTTTTTTATTTGTATGGACTGTATTTAAGTTTTATAGCTGAATTTTTAAATAATTTCTTGAGCCAAGATATCTAAAGGGAAAAATATATTTTGTTACTTTACCCCATTTCTAAGAGCTTTCATATCATTATTTGAAAATCTGTCAGATGTATTTCATATGATCTTATAACCCAGTGTAGAGTACCCAGGTATATTTATAAAGGGATAAGCATTCTAGATACCTAAGTTTTACTCGGACTGTAGTTAGCCTTCATGATGGGTAAAGTACTACAGACTATGGCAGGTTACTTGGGATAACCCCAGTAAGAGAGAGGCTCCATTTGAAGTCCATAGTAAAATATACATGTACTCCAAAGGGAACAGGATCAGGCCCAGAATTAGGTATTGGAAGTAATAAGGCACCAGGAATCAATATATTCATGACCTGAGGTATAAAATTGAGCAGGTTTCTGCATGCAGAACCACATGAGACATTAAGCTGACTGATACCTGTCCTAGTGTAGAGGCTAACACAGTCAGACTCATCACAAGGCATGGTAAAATCATATAGTAAATAAGTAAAATTACCTACCTGCATCTGTTCTACCCTGATTTGTTCCTATATGATTGTTCTTCTGATTTTTCATAAGGGCATCAAGGATTTTTTAAGAATTTGAAGAGCCGTGGGAACATGGCACAGGGACCGTGCACAGAATTGCGGCACTGTATGTAAATAGAAAGATTAAGCAGTCCAAAGCATAGCTACCGTTGAAGCAGCAAAGACAAGTGCCTCTGATGTGTACCTAATCCCTTTATTCTTTTATCAAAGTTTCATTAATCTAATTATGTTTATATGCCACGTAAAAAGAATGTATTCAGGCTGTGGATGGTATTTTGGTGTTTTTTTTAATAAATTTGATCCCTGTCAAAAACATCAGGGCAAATTGCCCAGGTAGGAATTCTGATTGTTTCCATTAGAGTAGCTAAACTACTACTACTACTCTCTGATTGCCTCTTTCTCTTGTGGTTTGATTTTGTGAATTAGCATCCTCACAAGCCAGGAGTCTAAATCAGTCCATTGCCCAGCTGTTAGACCTTCTACAGAAATGTCGATGAGAGTCCAGGTTTAAGTCCTTCAATAGGAAGATCATGGGCATCATGCCTGCAGTAAAGCTTACCCAGTGAACACATCAAAATGTGCCCATTGCAACTTCAAATCCTATCTGTGTCCTTAGGAGTTAAGTTAGGTATGAGTGGGCATGTCTACATGTGCATTAATGTGTTTTAGTTAATGTGCATTAAGTGTAGTACTTCCTTTGTGAGATACTAGGAAAATGCACATTAGCCTGTCTTAATGCGCATTAACTAAAGAGCATGCTTTTTAAGTGATGCTTAATGTTCATTAAGTAATTAGCACTGTTAAAGTAATGCTTTTATGTACATTAAAATAAGCTAATGCTCATCAAAGCATACATGTAGACAAGCCCAGTGTCTCTTAAATTAGGCCAACTTGGTGTTGGCCATTGACTAAGGGATGTTTCTCTGGCCTGAAGGTAAGAAGTTTGATTTTCAGTAGGTAGCTATGGCCATCTGGGGTTTTATTATTAATTTCTTGTGCATTATAAAGGCCTAACAAATTCAGCAGCGACAAGCAGCCAAGGATCAAGAGTGCACCACCGTTGGTGCTGGGCAAAAAATCCTGGTACTGCAGGCTTTTGAGGAGGAGAAAGTTGCCATGATTACTAAGAGGGTGTTTCTAATATGCATTCCTTTTTATAGTATGTTACCAGATGCTTTGTTTTCCTGAGAAACAATTTTTAAAACATACAAAATAGTACAGTATATACAATAGTGTAGTATATATCTAAAAGTGCATTCACCGAACTTCTGTTCATGGCAAATACAGGACTAATTAGTTATTGCAGCACTTTCTTTCCAAGGATTTTGGTAGATATGTATATGCAGCCTCATAAATAATGCCAGCAAGTTGCCACATGTATTTAGCCAGCGTCCTGTTAATCTGCTTGTTAAATGTACTGTTATAATCTTACAGTGTTAAACTACAGAACTGCTATAAGCCATGTTTTAATTAAATGGTTCCCATGTATCCAACAGTATCATTAAAATTCTGATGTTTCATTCTCTGCCTTACCTATTCGTGAATATTTTAACTTTTTCCTTAAAGAGTAAAAAGAAAAAACATCAACAAAAAAATCCAGTATGTAAATGAATGTTCTATAAATTTTTTGTATAGTCATTTTTCTGCTTTTTAAATATCACTTCTATTCAGATTATAATAAAATTATGATTTTGAAATCTCAATTTACGGAGCTAGAGGACAGTCTGTTTTGAGGTAAAAAAAATTGTTGAAAAACAGATAAATAAGACATCTTTTTGGTGTGGTATGTGGAGCTCCTCTTTTATAAGAGTTTGTTTTCACTTAATATAGCAGTGTCAAGAGTAATGTGGTAGCTGTGATGGTCCAGGACTTGTGAGAGGCAAGGATTTTTTGGATGTTATCTTTTATTAAACCAACTGCATAGATGGGATAAAGTTAGACAAGCTTTTAGGTAATACTGTACCCTTCCTATAGTCTCTGGGAGAGAAACAGACACAGCATTGCTATGTAACAGATAGAACAAAAGCTAAAACTCAATATTCAAATAAAGCCCAGATATAAGAGAAATTATCAGATAACAGGAGAGAGCGACTCTCCTGAATGATCTTGGCTAAGTGCAGAGATTAGTGAGAATCTGGTAGATGATAATGGACCGTGAAATCATTGTCTATGCTAAATCCTTGATACTTAGGCTAAGAACAGATATTCAAAAAGCCCAAGGCAGAATTGGTCCAATCTATGTCAATTTGTCTAGGCTGCATAGACGGGATACATATGTTTGCCCTTCAGTATGGAGAGGCAGGGAGATGCCTTCACTGGCTTAGGCCAGAAGGTGGGGGTGCTAGCATATGCCTCCCACCATGCTGGACATTGCCACAGGCAGCCAAGCCCAGCCAAGCAGGAACCAACCTGATTTGCTGCCCGGCATGCCCCTCCCCTGCTGCACAGGCCCAGTCCCCCTCCTGTACCACCCCCCACCGTCCCCCACCCCCAGACCCAGAAAGAGCAGCTGGGGGGAACCACGTGGCAGGAGCTTCCTCTCCACTGCCCCTGCGTGGCAGGGCCGCATTTTGCCCACCCCTGGCATAGCAGCAGGGGAGGTGCTGAGGCTCTGGCCCCAACTGGTACTGCCGCCACTGCTGGAGGCCAGGCCAGAGCTGCCACAAAGTAAGTGAGGGCAGTAGGAAGGTGGGGTCAGGTGGGGCGGGGAAGGCAAGTTGCAGGGATAAGTAGCGGAGGGCAGGTGCTGGGGGCACAGACATGGGCAGGACAAGTGGCAGGGAGGCAAGGTGGTGGGGTCTGATCCTCTGCCTCTCCCACAGTGTTGGGAGGGACAAATTTAAGCTGATGTTCCAATCATTAGTTTCGATACATGGAAAATTATAACAAATATATAATTTTCCATGCATAGAAATTCCAGGGGGCAGGGGTCATCTTAAATTCAAAGTTATCTTGGATTTGGTACAAAGAGCAATTGCTGAAACTGGGCAAATTATTACCAGTTAAGTGAATTAACAGAATGAATCTGCTGTGAAATGAGACACTGGACATCACTGGTGTTGTCTCCACCAACCCACACTTTTCAGACTCATTACTTTGGATATCAGCCCAGCAGTGCTGCATGTTCATGGATCTGACAACCTGCATCCCTGCCCTCTTCTCCATCCCATCCCTGCAGACCTTTCTACAAGTAATGCTGCCTGGGCCTGTCTCCTTTGCAGTCAGGTACTGAAACCCCCTGGGAATAGTGTATGAGGAGGCTGGGGGAGAGCAGAACATAGGCTAGAACAGGGGTGGGCAAAAATATGGCCCATGGACGATCCAGCCCACCAGACAATTTCATCCAGCCTGCAAGTGGGTGCCTACCAGTTTACTGTATCCAGCCTAGCCCTGGGCTGCCCCTGGGCCCAAGCATCCCCTCACTCCTCTGGGGGCAGCACACACTGCACTCCAACCCTCACCTGCAAGACAGCCCTGATCCTGGCCCTGCAGGTAGGGAAGCAGCAGTCGGAGGGGGAAGTGGTGTGTATGAGGCTTGTGGTGGTGGCACCAACAGCTGTGAGTGGTGGGGGAAGAAAGTGGATGGGGCAAGTGAATGGAGGGGAGAGGGGGGTCAGTTGCATGTGGGTGGGAAGCTAGGGAAGCAGCTTGGGAAGGGTGGCAGTGGCAGCAGGTGGGGGCACGCGGGAGTGGTAGATTTCATAGATTTGTAGTGTGGGAAGGGACATATTGGGTCATTGAGTCTGTCCCCCTGCTCTGGGCAGGAAAGAGCACTGGGGTCAAGTAACCCCAGCCAGGTCCTTGTCTAATCTCCTTTCAAACACCTTCAAGGTAGGGGAAAGCACAACCTCCCTTGGAAACCCATTCCATATTTTGGCAACCCAGAGATCCCAAGCATGTCACTCTGAGAGATGGAGCTGCCCTATGCCACTGCCATGGTAACAGCACCTGGCCACCACTGCCCTGGGGTCACAGAATCATAGAAAATTAGTGTTGGAAGGGACTTTAGGAGGTCATCTAGTTCTACCCCCTGCTCAAAGCAGGACCATCCCCAATCAGATTATCCCAGCCATAGTTTTGTCTAGTTGGGTCTCAGAAAATCTCCAAGGATGTAAATTCCACAACCTCTCTGGGCATGAGTGACTGGTGCCTCCCAAGACTGGGGTGGGGCACCATTCATAGTCAGCAGCAAGCGGGGACCACCCATAGATGCTAGTGGTGATGTCAGCAGTGGCAAGTAGGCACCACCTGCAGACACCGGCAGCAGTGTGAGCAGCATGGGCAAGTGGTGAGCAGGGATTGCCTGCAGATGCTGGTAGCAGTGTTAGCAGTGGCCAATCTCAGGGGGGCACATGCCCCCTGTACTCCCTCTACGCATCGCCTATGTCTCTGGGTAGCTTATTCCAGTGTTTTACTACCCTCCTAGTGAGAAAAATTTTCCTAATATGTAACCTAAACTTCCCTTGCTGCAAATTGAGACTGTTGTTCCTTGTTCTGTCATCTGCCACCACAGAGCAGTCTAGCTCCATCCTCTTTTGAACCTCTCTTCAGGTAGGTAGTTGAAGGCTGCTATTAAATCCCCCCTCAGTCTTCTCTTCTCTAAACTAAATAAACCCACTTCCCTCAGCCTCTCCACATAAGTCATGTCCTCCAGCCCCCTCACCATTTTTGTTGCCCTCCGCTGGACTCTCCAATTTGTCCACATCCTTTGTGCAGTGGGGGGCCCAAAACTGGACACAGTACTCCAGATGTGGCCTCACCA